GAGTAGACACAAATCTCAATAAAACTAAATCTCTTCAAACTATGACAATTCATTAACCTCAGACTCAATCAACAGAATCCAACTTGCCTGACCTTCATTTGCATCAAGGAAAATTGTAAGCTACATATTCGCCAATGGAAAGATGAGTACCATCTTTCCTTGTGCGACCCTGAAGGTCGGGAAATTGGAAGGGTGCCAACGTTTGCAAATCACGTGAACATGCAGGGATAAATTGTAAATGTGACATGGATAATACATGAATATAACCAAATCTCGTATTCTTACGAGTACATTACAACCAGGACTTTAATGACCATTGTCGGTGTGAAAGATAATATTGATAATTGAAGAATTTTAATTCTCATTTAACATGATATAATGTTGTAAATAAATAGGCCCACGGTGTCTTAAGCGTCAACACTGTGTTTACGGATAAAAATTATTCTCAGAGACCCCCCCCCCCTAAACTGAATGTTTCTTGAGTATTGGTTCTGTATTCGGCCATTATTAGACGAGTAATCAGAATGGAGTGGGGCGGGTTGCGTGCAGACTGACCTAAAGTTAACCACATAACATAGGCAAATGAATCTTTTAATCTTGAATATAATCAATTTATGCCTGTTTCATATTTGCGAAATATTTATAAGACTTTGTACTCGGATGATAGCCCTGAAGTCGATAACTGAATTTTTTTCAGAAGATCAGTACCTATTGCTATCCTCTAATTTATTTCAACCTATATTGTAGCGTGGACAGACAACTCATTTGATTATAATTAATGATCTTGAATTATTATCTTCAATGATTGCTGCAACGTGAATAATCAGATAATTCGAGTTATCTTGTTAGGTTGATGATTTTAATACAATAAATGTAATGCTTGTAAACACACATGCGCCCGAAAGTCAGCAAACAGAAGAGAGGAACCAGTAGTATACTTATATCATTTTCATAAAAATGATGACTTCAATTTTTTCACCATCTTTTTTTGAACTGTACATCTTGGAGCGGTCCAACTTGATTTACGCCAATATCGAAGATCTGGGGCAATCAGGGCGTAGCGGAGAGCGCGTTAGCCTGGTAACGGGTTTGGAGGTACGTAGAAATCTTGATGTATATATTTCAACAAAACTTTTTTTGGTGTTCTCCCGTTTCCGCAACATTTCATTCCACCATCACTGCGACGAACAACATATTTTTCCATTCATCTAACCTTTCGTGGGCAAGAAAACTTTCCCGTGACCGCACTGACTATTCCAACAGACGATTCCACGGGCAAAACATCAAAAAATCGCTTTTCCAATAGACCACTGTCCACAAGATCGGAAAGCAATCATTTTGTGGCCAGACACGAAACCGATACTGATTTATTAATGTTAATGCATGTGTTACCTTGATGTGTACTTAAAGACAAAACCCTTTACCGCTAACGACATAGCCATCTAGTAGGCATCGGAGATGTTACTACCAGTGGTGGCTGGTGTCCCCCAAATTTGCGATTGAGCTCCATCGAATGTCGGGAAGGTATTTTCCAAAATTCAGAACACTAACACATAATAAAAAGCAAGCGAATTCATGAAAACAAATTTCATTAAAGTCTGTATTCAAACATTAGTTACGAAATGTTATGCTTATAACTCGTGGTGGTACACATCTAATGTACAAGATTCCACTCACTTTGATTTCCAATGGGCAGTCGAGTTATTGTATTACTTCTGCATTAAGGCAAATGAAGGTAATATAATTCATACAAAATAAAACACTAGAATTTCAAAGTACGGCTATCACAATCAAGCACTTTGCAACATTGCTATAGTTTGGGCACGTTTTACATTAGTTCATGACATGATTTTTGATGTTATTGCTGATACTTTTGGTGATGATAATGTAATAAAATTATTTGATGTCGCAAATTTTAGTAGTCCAGTAACCTTCATTAACTTTCCAAAATGACAATAAAATATTAATGAAACGTTGTGCAATCTGGAACAATAAAAGATTTGATGTGATCTTGTGTGTTATTCTTTCACAAATATAAAAATTGAATAGCTGTCTAAAATAAAATGGGATTCACAAAAAATTACTCTAACAATCATATAAACAGAAAGTTAATTTAAAATTAATATGGGGAGCCTCGAACGAATACCAAATTTATTCGCGAATTTTACTATTACGATGCCCCTAAAACACATACCATGGTCATTGTGAAGTCCTCTAAAAAAGCTCATCCGATTAATAACTCTCGGGACGTATTAATAGCCGTAGTGAATATTAGATATACGATTGGTGTGGCCTTCTGTAACTTTGGAGAGACATTCATAGCCGTAAGAATGTATTTCTGTCTTATGTCCGATTCTTGAAACGGGTCACAATCATCAACATTTAGTTTTGCAAATATTTTCGAAACCGTCGGAACTGTTTTCAACGGCGCCAAACTGTTGGTTACATGGAAAATAAGTCGTTCTGTTGGTTACTTGGACGTACTGTTCTTGATCTTTGTCGTGTATAAATATGAGCGTTCTAGGTTTCCTGATGCATAGTGTATGCTGTTTCAGTAACGTACCTCTATATGTTTGTGATACTACTAACTTATTGAACTATGACGGTCTTTGCTATGGCGTACTTCAACAACTCTTAAAAAATACTTGATTTTACTCTTCACCAGCGTTTTGACGATAAATTATCAATTTTACGTTTCAATTCAGGGTATTTTCTCTGTTCGTCGGCAAAGGTCTGTCGGCCACCGTTAATTCCCTTTCCGCTGACACTTTGTCGACCTCAAGATCCACGATATTATTTCGCGCCCCGTAAAATATCTGAGGTGCAACTGCGTCCGGCAGGAAAACAGCTGGGCGGAGCAACCGCCGTTTTCGGCGTTGTGTGACCTGTGGCCACCCGGCTCCGCCCGCCCCTGGCAGCCGCTGTCTGTGTTTGAACTGCTCACAGTATCGGAGGCTCCATACATTATTGCTGGATTTTGTCGATCAGTGGGATCGTCCGGTTACTCATGAGATAACTGTTATAACTTGGAACGTATTTTCATGTAAGTACGTTTTTGTCGGAAACAAGATACCTGTATTCAGTAATAGAGTTCACAAGACATTCTCAATGAATTGGAACCACTTTTACTTTACATATTTTTACATTTTTCACTACACATTTCTGGCATATTTTGTTGTATTATAAATATTAATATACGTCGAAACAGAACACTTCAGATGCGAGTTTGCAATTTTAAGTTACTTTCTTACGAAGCAATGTAATGTTACTGCACTGCGTTGACTACTGTGTCTTGTCAAACTTTCCTACGTCTACTTCTCCGAAACCTTGCAAGCGAAATCAACGATGAGCGGATGTTTGCCAAGCAGAAAAAATTTCAACTAAGAGCTTGCTCATGTTTCAATGAATTAATTCGGAACAAATACTTTTTACTAATCATTGTCTTATCACGTTGTTGGATTTGGAGGAGAGGATATGTTCCATTTAACACCCACTTCAGGATCTTACACGTTAATTCTATTCACTTCAACTCCGGGTCCACGCAAACAGCAACATATTCTACGAACGTATTTTGCATGAATAAAATTCTTGTGTTTATGAGGTACAATTACTCCCATCAAGATACAACTTTCTGCAAAAACACTCCGAATCCATGTTAAGATCTGATATGTGTTCGAAAAATGCTTGTGCAGAATAATTTTAAATAAAATAATTATATTTTATGTCACGTATTTTGTATTTTTTTTCTTATATATTAAATAATACTTGTATTTGAAATAATAAATACATACTCGTGTTTATGTACGTATTTCGCTTATTTATTACAATAAATTACGTTCCTTTATTATAACACTTACGTTGTCCATGGCCCGCCATAGTGTTGAAGGGCACCGCTGACGTACATTCACGACGGGCAGGTTACGAGGTCCTGCATTGATGGAAGGTTGAAGTGCACAAACCGTCTTAACAAACAGCTATTGAGTGAGCTTCTATTGACCCTCTACTGAAGGTCTGCCAATTCCATGACGTCACAAAGTGTAGCATATCTGCAACATACGAAAACCGGTATTACTTCCTATCCAAAAAAGGAGTACGACGTTCCTTTTCACTCTATCACAACCAGGCTTTGGCCAGATTCTAGTCTGAGAGATTATTGTTTATATAAATAAAATTTAACAAGCGAGGCAAGTGAGAACACTTGGAACTAGGTAAATTATTATCTTTATTGTGAAAATAACTTTTATTTGAAAAATGTAGAGGAAAGGCAAAAGTTCAACTCTCGTACTATCGAGACTCCATAATATCAGCATTCAATTCATTGAACGTAAATTGATACGTGATTCGACACAGCATTTTGGCAATGAACAAAAGCCAGTGTAAATAAACAATTCTATTAAGCTAAGGTGTTATTAATAAATATAAACAATTGTTACTTCTATTAGTCACCCTCAGCCTATGACTAGCAACGTTGGCGCCTTTCGTACTCTCCAGCGAGGGCGGGGTGTGGCGAGATTGCATATTCCCATGTCTAATTTAGACATACTTTCCTAATAATACTTATGAAGAGAAAGTGAAAGTGTAATCTGTCGCATATACTTTACATTGACACTAATAAAGAATAGTAATTCATCCTAGTGAAATATGAACTTTTTTAAACTAGGGTAAAAACAGCAAAGTTGCTTCATATGAAGTACTCTCCAAATTCAAAAATTCAAGGTTATTCTCGGATCAGAACAACAAGATATTATTTTTGCAGTGTATACCAAGTTTGATCGCAAAATCGTATAATCTAATCGAGTTCTGTATGACACATATTTTCATCCATTCATTCATCCAAATAGACATCCCGATATTGCAGTACACAACTGCATTCATCTCCTCGCCGTAACATTTCTAGGAATAGCACTTTTATATCTTAATCCTTACGTGTACGCATAGATACATTACAAAAAAAAATTTAAACACCAATTTTACAATGGAAAAATTGACATTGTGTTGAGATGATTCCAATATTCTCCCTGCATACTCTTCCGTTTAGGGATGAGGAGGTTGAGGAAGCGCATGGCGTTATTGCGGTGTGTGTTGGGCCATGGCGGAGCGGCGGGCGTCTGCCGTCTCATGCGACTGCCCGAGGCCCGCGACGCGCTGCGCAAAGGGCGTGGCGCCCGCCACCTGCTCCTTCCAGGGATTCCAGCCAGTCGTCTGCTGCCCGCGCCCGTCCCCACCCTCTTCCACCCCGCTCCCGCTCCCTCCACCGCCCCAAACCACCCCCCACCCCCACAACACTGACTCCTCAACGGGTCTCCACCAGGAGTGAGTACCTGAGCCCGTTTCTAAATCTTTTTAATTTTTTAAAATTTACCAAAAGATAATGTTATGAAAAACAGTTTCCTTGAATGAATTAGAATCAATGTTTCAGATTCATAATGCAAATGCCATTTCCCGCTTATGGATAGAAGGTGTAGCTTTACTCTCGTACGCGAAAAAGGTCTATTTAAAAGTTGATCCCTCCTATTTCGACGTAAGAATCCTCAAAGTTCATTTGTCATTTTATTAATAGTTTATCATGAAACTATTATGTAATATTGGATATTAATACACGAGTATAAATTATATTTCGACACGAGTGGAAAAAGAGCGAATGGTGTAAACTTCATACAAGGTATTCCCACACCCAAAAGTCTAATTTCATTCAGTGAGTTTTCTGAGAAAAAATAAAAAAATAAAACACAGTCATGGTATTATATTACTATTTTCCATTTCTAACTTTTTTGTTCTTATGGTAGTCCCATATCTGGTTCATTAAATTTCAAAATTTTAGTTTTTTCCTTGTCGCGTCATTGCCAAACATGTTCATCACTGTGAGTCATCTCAATGTAAAGAAATACTTTCTAAACGGATCGTTTGTCTCAATGTCTTAATTCTGAGTATGTCATTAGTTGAGAACTTGATATAGATGAATAATTATGATTATATTATTAAACGAGCTGCGGTCACCTAAAAAGGGAATTATAAGATGAGGGTAGAACAACTTTTCTACTTTTGAATCATATATAGGCAAGAAAATATGTTTATTTGGATCTGTTGAAGTTGTTCGAATAATTGTACTATGTCTATGTCTATTGCAGTGTGCACCAAATACGCAGAGGCCGTCTATGTCTATATAACTTCTTTCCAAATACCGAAACAAACTGAGAAAAAGGATACGTGCGCTATTAAAGGTATACCTTTCATTGTGAATGGAGAAGCAGCTGATCCTAATGAGTTTCCTCATATGGTGAGTGTAAAAAAATCTCTGTAGTGAATCACACAAGTTTAATTCCCTAATATTTAGGATCAGGCACAGTCTACTGATATTTTTAAGTTACTAGAGTTTGGAGTAGTGAAGGTTATTTCTTGTTCTGAGATGAAGAACATGGAGTCTTCGCGACAGAAATATTAGGTTTTTACGAGGGTGGGAGCAACTTCTTTGATTGCCATTTAATTAAGAATAGTCATTTTGATCTATTAGGACATTTCATTCATATTTGTATGTACTGTTACCAGTTGAACCAGTGTTAGCATCCACTACATTGTAATCACTGCTGTATGTATGAAAAGAGCATTTTATTGGAACTTATTTCTGTGAAAAAGAGCTTCAAACTTCGCATTTACAATAATGCTTAAACGCCATTTTCTTAAACACGGCTCCAAATTCCTTAATGAAAATTGCAATTTAGGACGAGGTTTTATTCTTCTTAGAATTTTTAAAGTAATATTTCAGTTATATCGCTAGAACACCGAATAATGTAGGAAATGTCAAAAAAATGTAGTTTGGGCGGCAAAAGATGGCACCTGGCGAGAGTATGAAGCTAGACCGAAACGCTAGACCAGACCAAAGAATTTGGAAGTACGAGAAAATCTGTGCTATTCTGTAGCACTACTAAATACTATCGCTTTGCCGCAGATGACATTCAATTGTTTTGGAAAATAAATAAATATTCCATGATGGAAACTGCAGTAATTATTATAGCGTCTGAAACAACTCACTTAGAAATATTTTTCGCTATTTTTAACAGTATGTTCTTACTATCTAATTGATTGATGATATTTATTTGTAAAATAGTCCAACCAAATTCCATTCGTGTTTTGAAACCTCTCAGATAAGTCCGCTCGTCGCTCGCGACTCGCAAACATATCGATAAGATTCAAACAAGTCGTAAAATTACGTACGAAAATTATAGTTTATTGAAATTTTTACAAAGTGATTAAAAAGTAGTATGATATTCCTATCGTAACATCTTAAAATACTTATTTCGGAAATTATTATTAAAACAGCCTTTGTTATAAAGCTTTCAATGAATGCGCATTTATTTGACAAAGTGGAGTAAAACAATCTTTTGTGAGAGCCTCTAGTTATTCTTACTGTTACAAGTATTCTTATCGCTATTGCTCCGCAGGCGCTGTTGGGTTACGGAGACGAGAAGGCACCCATCTGGGGGTGCGGTGGTTCCCTCATCAGTGAGCGCTTCGTGCTCACCGCCGCCCACTGCTTCACCAGGAAGTAAGCAACACCCGAATCAGGAGTAAATTCGCTGAAATATTGCGAGAGAGAAGAAACGCAAATTCTTTAAATCGACGATGCGATATCCGACGAGGAAACAGATGATAGCAATTCACAGATTGAGGTGATAAGTCCCACATTATGACACGAGCTGACGGGAAAAGTCGTGTTTGAACGACATGGAACCAGGAATATTGTTGAGTTGAGTGCGACATGTTCTCATTAATAGGAATGCACTTTTAAACATTAGTGATACAAACTTACTGTGTATCATTTCACCAGCCACGACTCTATTCGATTCTCTTGTTCATTTATTTAAAACTTTTCTTAAAAAGCTTCCTTTGGAGAACATTCGCTATTCGTCTACAGCTTTAACTAGAGTAGGTACTCAGTAGATCATTATACTCTTCCGTGTGCATTGACATTTGAGGCTTTGCAAATCTAAACGAGCTAAGTACCAACATTTTCGAAATGAAGGTTTTGAGATCTAAATTGTAAATAAATCGGTGCCAATATATTGTTAAAAGAGCAATGTTCCAAACATCTTCCAAGTAATTGTAGCATTTACCTAGAGATGGCTCTGTTTGTATTTCAAGTATTCGAATTCATACAATTTTTATTGCTTAAAAACAACAACACATTTTGGAACTTAATTCCCTTGGCATTGCAAGGCCTTATTTATAATTTGAATATGGTCCTTCTTGTAACATGGCTACCTAATTAACATGCTCAACACTAAAAATTATGATAAATCTTAGAGAATGTTTTGTATAATTTAACAAGCACTTTGATTCAGTGGTTCGTTCATATTATCGAAAGATCCTGAATGTGATGGTGATTCATGAAGTAATTGTAACGAATCGTTTATTACGAAATGTTTTTCTTGTTGAACATTTTAATTTCCTGTAAATATATTTGTCTTTCATAAAACTCGGTGTGTACATTTTGGGAACGTAACATTTTCACCTGATATTTGGCATAATATTCCTGTACGTGAACATTCTTTAATTATGGAATAAGTAGAATAAAAGACATTCAATTCCTTCAGAAAAGGTAATAAAATATTTTATGCTGCAAAATTGTATTTTTATAGCCTCTAGTAAAAGCAATTACTTTTAGGGCATGTAATGCTAGCTACAAGTTCAATTTTTAATGTAGCCCAAAAGTAAGACAATCCTCAAGTGTTCAGATAAAATTTTAAATACAACAAAGAAAACAAAATACTTTCGTCTGATTCAACGAGCTCCATCTTTGCAGCAAATTGAAGCCATGTTTTTTGCAGTCAGACCAGCGCCCTCCGCAGAAACAGAGTATTTTAGTATTCCGTTTGGGGCTGGTTACGGCCGGATGGAGGCAAGTCGGGCGTTATACTTGTATAAATCCTCTTACTCTGTGTTGCACGACCAAAACCAATCATTTAAAACGAGAATGACAATATGTTAGGAGAACGTGTTGAGAAACTTTAAATACACGCTGCTTCCTGCGTCGGTTCTTATCATAAGAATGGAAACTGTTGAAATGTTATTTTTGTTAGCATAAAGCATTAAAGGGTATGTTATTGGTATAAGAAGCAAACAAAAGGATTATGTTTTAAGGCAGCAAACTCGAAAAATGATATATTTGTGGTTTGATAACTTCTAATTTTAGTTATATACCGAACATGCTAAAGGCATTGTGAATATTATTATTCTAAACACTAATATAATTTAAATACAGATAAACGAAAAGGCAGCAAGATAGAAATAAGATCTGAAACTATCAACACGTCACCATCAGGTAACTCTTATGCTTTTACTGCAAAAATCATGGCGGCGTCGTGCATCGAACAAAAGCGCTGAAGCCATAGTCAGCCACTCTTTGTAGTATGTGCTAGCTCGTTGGTCTGATTTCATCACCTACTACTGACATTTTGGTTCAGAGTGATTTGTGTGCTTGATTTAAAAAAAAGAATGTCAATAAGCTGTCTAAAAGAACAACACACGCGGTAAAAGTAATTTTATTTGCAAGTAAAATGAGCCACTCGGCCTATCGACCACGTGTCGCAAGTATTTCCTATTCGCGAAATAAAATACCAATTTTATCACTCGGATTATAAATACGTATTCTAAACTTAGAGTCTATAGCGCCTTAGGTAAACGACATTAGTAACTTTTCTGACAAATATGAAACGTTAGAAATATGTTTATTTCTATAAAGCATGGAAGGAATACTTTTTGGGGGTCCCGTGGATATTCTTAAGACTTTCAGGAATAATGAGTTCCATATAGATACGTTTTTTGTCCTGTTTCTCTAGATAAATAGCGAAATTGTACGATGACATGCTTCTGAAAAGTTAAAAGTAACATTTACGATCTCCACGTCCCACTTCTCGTTACTGTCAGATGCATACAAGAGCTATGATTTAGAAAATTAAGTCAATGAACCAACAACGAAAAATATTCGTTTATTCTGACGCAGTGGTCATCCGAAAGTCGTGCGCCTGGGCGAATTGAACCTGAAGACAACGAGCGAGGCCAACAAGCACGAAGACTTCGCGGTGGCCCAGGTCCTCCCGCACCCGGACTACGTGGACAGCGCCAACTACAACGACCTGGGGCTGGTGCGGCTGAGCCGGGACGTCGCCTTCACGCCCTCCATCCGCCCGCTCTGCCTGCAGGTGGACAAGGACTTCGGCCGCCCCTCCGCCATCGCCTCGGGCTGGGGCTACACCGACTGGAGTGAGTAGGCGCTCCTCTGCGACGACACAGCGGGGCACAGGCAGGGATGGGCGGGGTGTGGGTGGGGCCGGGGGGGGAGCCAGAGAGGGGAGTAACCTTTCCTATGACATTGTTTAAGAAACGTTTTCTCGAATACTACTGAGGTTAAAAAGTAGGTAATATAGGTAATACAAACGAAACTTTCGGATTGTCACAAAACAGCGGTATCTTTTGTTACGAAAATGTCAGAATCAGTTTTTAGGTGAAAAATTGTTTTAGTATTTTTAAAAAGTCAGTATTTTTGGGTTTGTCCTACACTTGCAAACCTTTGTGATTTTGAGAAAAGACAACAGGGACAGTTTTATGCATTTATACCTACTTAAAATAATTTGAGTGACCGCCTTTTAACAAAACGAGTGACAACCCCAAAAACCAGTTTCTCATATAATATTAACACACAATATATAAAGTATTATATTCCATTTGTGTGTGACTCAGAAAATTTTGTTAATAACTAGTAATAGGCAATGTATTTAACACGCGATGATATTCTATTCTCCATTTGATTCGTTAAACGCAACCAAAACATCTCAAAAATATTGTGTTCTGATGCTTTTGCGAGGTCATTAACGTGCGTTGTGTTAAATTTTTACAGCTATTCGTGAAATGTCTGACCATCTAATGAAAGTGAAACTGCCGATACAAGATAATGAGGTCTGCCAAAATGCGTACAAAACGAAGTCTACCACACCGAGTTTGAGAAGGGGAATTGAGGAAGAATCGATGATATGTGCAGGAGCACTGAATGTACGCAATGACACCTGCGGCGTAAGTACCGATTCATCTCTTTTTGAGTTTATTCTGACTGCTAATATTTCCCCCCTAGAATTACTAGTTAGTACGTTTAGTAAGGCAGAGCATTTGAGTCACTGACATAACTCCTCACACATTATGAAATTTTGTAAATTCAAATAAATACATGCCAACATGCAATTTATAGTCAAAATAAATTTGCAAGTGACATAAATGTATTTGAGTAAAATCTCTGGTCTTTAATTCTTTTCAAGTTGTAAGTGGATAACTCTTGTTCCTATTTAAAGAAAATTACTCTCTTAGGCGTTATGTAGTGATAATCAACGTTTTGTGGGTTCTTGATACCAAAAAATAGATTGTTCTCACCGTTCATCTGTCTGTATGCCAACGCTAGCACCTAAACAGTTCAGACGATTTTCAAAAAAAGGTATCTCCAATCGATCTGTACAAACTCGGAACGATGTTTTGATTTTGGAGGGTACTTTACATGAAGCCTCAAATAGTTTTTTCTGTAACAAAATGTACTTTCAAAGGCAGGTTTTTAAATTACATCAGGTACATTTTTGGAAAATATGGATATTCCCGTAATTTTGTGTGAAAGCAAACCATTTTTTTTAAATTTCCAAAAACAGTTGAAAGTTTTTTCTTTAATTGTTTTACACCTATGTATAAAACATTGTAAAAATGGCACTAGTCCCATTTCTGGCGAACTCTCTGTGTTTTCGAAAATTGGAAAATAGTAACATTGCAAATCTATAAATTATAAGATAGAAATCTTTGTCTTAAATAAAATAGTATGTTCTAATCAATCAACTCTTTAAAAAGATCACGTACATTTAAAAACTTAGTACCTTTACGTAATTTATGCTGCAATTAAATGCATATTTTGTCAAAAACTGTTTCAGTTTAAAAAAAATATTTATCCATTGCTAGACCAAGGGACGCAGAAAATAATGGCTTGGGTCTCATATTCGTAGGACACTCTAAATTTTAAAAAATCGAAAAACTTATAAATAATGCGAGAAATTATGTGCTATTTAGTTACCGATACGTGGCAGACTAATAACAAATTAAAGTTTACAGTAAAATACTTTTTACAAAAGTGCATGCTCAAGTTCCCCGTTTTTTCGGGTTTGTGTAATAATCGATTATTAGGCAGGAAAATGCGTGTCCTGCCCTGCCTTGCGCCCCACTGCCCAAACTCACTTTGGACCAACCCAACCGCCCAGCTCCACCTTGTAGCTACTCACCTTACTCTCCCCCTCCTCGGCTTGATTCCCATTGTACGACTTGGCCTGTCCCGGCCACACCCAAGCATTGGTGATTCGGGCATATATAAATAAAAATACTGTTGCGTACCCCCGGCAAAAATTCCAGTGGCAATTTTGACTTGAAATTACTCAAAATCTAACGCCGCTTTGGGAATGAAGCAAAAAGCATTTAGTAAAAAATATTCCATTGTTTTTAATGAATTTTTTCACAGTTTTAAAAATATTGTTCGAAAATTGGAAAAAAAATGCACTTTAATGTTTTGTCTAAGGAAAAAAGGAATGGAGATAAAAGCAATTTCTACGAAGTCTCGTGCAAACAGTAACATTTCTGTGGTTTTGAAGGTTACGTGTTTTTGTCATTAAGAAAGAAAGAAATCTGTCAGATGTATAAATAATAAACATTTTTTCCATTTAAGTTAAATCAATAATAAAAAAAAGAATCGTAAGTTATGCCCGACAAAACTACCTTTCAGGGAAAACTGCATCGAAATCGGTTCACTCGTTGATATGATCCCTACCAGATATACCAAAAATTGGTTTCCGTATCATCTAAGTAAACAAATGAGATTGTAGAAAGGTAGTCACTTTCAAATCACAGGCAAACACTTCAATTTCATTTCTCTGACAGGAAAAACGCACTCAGGTCAGAACAAAAAGTCAGAAATATGCGGACAGTTGGCAAGCCGCTAAGGATGAGTTGCGACTGAAAAGTCACGTATACAGACACCACTTAAGCAAGAAGGGAATCCTTAAGCAATACGAATTGCTTAAACTAAATGGTCACTTAGAGAGGTTCTACTTTATAGTCGTTCTTAGTGGTCACGCTTATTGTGTAATATTACACTGGTGTTTAAGAAAATTGCAACACCAGGAAGGAGACATAGTATTACAATTAAATTTATTCCACAGTTTAGGAATATCACACTATACAAATGATAAGAATTACAAAAATGTACCTGCATTTTGACTTTGACTATTTAGTACGGTGTGAAGTCACCATGCGCACCACGAGCCACCAGACGTCGTGGCATGGATTCAAAGAGAGCCTGGATATGTCACTGGGAAACGCGCTGCCACGAGTTCTCTAAGCGTGACCACAAAGAATGCAGGAGATGGCTACAGGTGGACCAGAACAAACAAGTCGTCGACCGATAGTACTTCAGGCATGTTTTGCCATTACACGTCAGGAGAACGAGCAGACCAGGGAACCAGTGTTCCACGCATTCATTAGCTGTCAGGATGGGCTTTATAATTTCATTCTCAATGAAAATCGTGAAGTTGCTGTCAACACTTAAGTGAATTTTAAATGTATCATTAATACAACTGAATAGTTGTTCATCTTATCTTGATATATAATAAAGTAGATGTATGTGGATATCATGTGTGGTTGATTTTCCGACAAATCACATCTGAAGAACCGAAACGATTCCTGTAAATTTTTGAAACGACGAGAATAACGTCAGAGGGTGGACGTTTGTAATGAAAGTGCTAAAAGTTGGAGACACTTATGCACACCCAAAGAAAGTTCTGGCAAAGTCAAGAATTCACGGACTAACTTTGAAAACCATTATCTAAGCACATAACTTTCATTTAAATTGTGAAGTGACACGTTACGTTGGCCATTTTGTGTTGCAGGGTGACTCCGGAGGTCCACTCCAGATACGACTGGATGAGCCCTATTGTATGTACAGCCTAGTAGGCGTCACGTCATTCGGGAAAGGATCCTGCGGGAGTGGCAAGGCCCCAGCAGTCTACACCCGAGTCTCTCGCTACGTACCGTGGATTGAGAGCGTTGTGTGGCCCAACGAGAAATAAATGCATATCGAAATTATCCTTTACGGCCTCTGAGCGGTTGTTAATTACATGTTGACATTAAACTGTTTCGGAGTCCAACTAATAAGTGATCTCTCAGAATAAATGTTATATACTTGTAAGGCATGTAGGGTGGTGGAATATGAGTACTTTTTGCCATTGAACAAGTTGTGGGAAATCTGATATAACAATGTTCAATATATGACATTCACCCCGGTTCATACACTTGTGATTGCAAAAGTGATGTCGTGAATCTTGCCTCATATTTCGTAGTCGTAGAAGTTAGAAACACTAAATTCTAAGACGTCATGTATAATTGAAAGTGAAATGAAGATTGTAATGTACTTAAATGGACATTTGCTAATTCAATCATAACCACGGACGTTATGATTAAACCGATGAGTTAATAATGCAATGTACTCGTATTGTATGACAGATCTTATGTAAACTCTAAATATATTTTCGAACCTGTTTTGTCATGAAAACGTCACAAGTTTGAAAACACAAGTCAATAGGCGATTATTACTAAAATTTCTTATGTTAATATTCATAAATTTGTCAACATACTTGACTCCTCTACAGATTTGAAACAGAAAGAGATGTAATAACAACTTAACTTAATGAACATTATAAGTTTTTATATGTTGATGTTTTCTTTCAACATAATATTACTTAATAAATTAAAACGGTATTTCGATAAATAATAATATAAGTCAATAAAAAAGTTTACTAAAAAAGGTATAACAAAAAAACAATGTGTGAATGGCATACCTAGAAATATGTAGAAATATAGCTCTTAAAATTGAGTTTTAATAGCAAAATTTTAAAAGTATAGGAGTACTGATTTTAAATGAAAATTGTATACATTTTTAATTTATTGTTTTTAATTTATTTATTTGTGTTTTGAATGTCTGAATAAAACTTAAACTTTTGTACTAAGTAATTTATGGTGCATAGAATACAAACACTACGACGATAATTCCGTTGCTACTTACAATAATCTGAATAACAGAAAAACAAACGTTATTTAATGTCACTACTTATAAATGAAGTTCCGTATTGCAACGCCAACCCACACAAAATGTTAATGCAATTAATATTTAAAATAATATTGATGACCAGCTTACTAAGGTGCGTAAAATACTGTTTCTATAAGCTGTTTTTTATTCAGTGAGGAAAGTCAGAAATAAAGAAAACTCAAAATTCCAATCAACTCAATTATTATAATTTGATCATTATCCTGTTAATTAGTCCAATTTGTATCATTAACGCAGTCATTACCATTACAAGCGTTTCTCGAGGACAACATACACAACAAACTCGGTCGCTTCTGTTTGCTCATTGAGCGTTTCTTATCTGATTCAAATACAGCATTAACTTCTACAGAGCATCTCGTAGCCATCACAGCATCACGGAATGTCGAGGCTTGACGAGTTTTTTTTAGATAGTTGGAAAATTTGAAGTTGGGCGTTCACTGATCACTTTGCTCCAAGAACAAAACTGGGAGGGAGGATGTGAATCAATGGATCATGCGCAAATCCGTGACCAGTAGCTGACCCGACTCTGGCAATCTCATGGAATATAAAGAGAAAAGAAGTGAATCCACCGAGTGCTGCAGCCGACCTCCAGTGATCTCCTCACGCCAAAGAGAACGTGGATAGACAATAGAAGAAAGTGAACTTTTCTCCCCGTGAAAGAATATAACCGTTTAAACAAGTTTTGCAAACAGATCTTGTACTCTCTTGTAATAATTCTCAAAGCTCCTGAACACAAGAAATAGTTCTCTATGGAATTTGAAAAAAATTTCAATTTCACCTCTATCAACCAACATAGGCAAAATGAATTCACGTAGCTGCAAAGCAGAAGCACAAGCAAAACATGTTTAAAACACCTTTACCTATAATCATTCTCCTTTTCATTCTTTGCACAATGAAATTCAACAAATACTCCCATTTTTAATATACCCTTCAGAATAGAGTACTATTCTCCTTGCACAATTAGATTATTAACTCAGAAACTCACGAATAAAAATGCAAATAAGTTCAGTTCAACAAACCTAAACAAAATTACTGTCGTCAGCCTTTTTAAACAATATCTATAATTCAGTTTCAAGAATTGGTCATATCCTGTAAAGCTGAAAGAACTACATCATTCACACAATCACCAGACGAAACAACAATCACTCCAAAGTACACAATTACCGTCCTATTCGTCTGTCTGTTACATTCAAAAATATTTGCAAATCTAATTTTCGCCGGTTTATTCCAGCATCTCTAAAACATTAACATAATTCCCAACCACCAATTCGGATTCATTGCTCACCATTCAACGGCTTATCAACTACTACATAACACAACCAATATGCATATTTTTTAATTAAAAAATCACTCCTCAACATTTCTGGACCATCACACATCCACAGCTCATTTATTCTATGTTCATTATTAATGAAAAACACTCCATCCACTTCAAAAACAAACACAGATCAATTCGCAGGACTTACAGCACTATTTGTTTCAGTATACTCATTAAATAGACTCCAATCACAAATATTAAAAACCGCTTAAAAAAGAAATCCTGCTCAAATGAAAAATTAACATAATCCAGATATAGCCAAACAAGAAATCTTTTCACTCAGAGAGTTTACTTCAGTCTCTTCTATAAATAAACAATCCCCATTCCCTGGATCCACCATCGCAATTCACAACATTCTTATTACTTCATTTGGATAAAAATCTTACCTGGAAATCCCTCATAGACTTCAAAATAAAAACACGCAAGAAACAAACTAATACATCTCCGCCACTCATCAACAAGCACAAATCCCTCTCACGTGCAAACTCCGCCAATGGGAATCGAGGAGCGTTGGGAACAAATCAAATGGTGGAGGAAGTAAGGGACAAATGCAATCTGCGCAGAACAGGTTCAGCGGCGTCGGACACGGTGGAGAGGGGTCAGAGGCGGGCGGCGCGGGGCGGGGCGCTTCTTTCAAGTGTGGCGGGGCGCCAGTGGCCGTCAGTACGCGCGCTGCAGTCATGGGGGAAGGGACGTCCGCCCGCCCGCTGTTTCTGCTGCTTCTGTTCTTGGCAACCGCCGTCACCGCAGCAGAGAAACACGTAGGTAAGTGCACACGTCACAATGAGTTCGCAATGAGGTCTTCGCTAACGGAGGTCGCAACGGGTCCCGGAAGCATCCTGGTTCAATAAATCGTTATTTCCATTACAGAGACTACCAACTTCTTATGAATTGTTTGAAGTTTTCTGTAATTCACAGATTGACCAATCCCATCTTCATCATTTTATTTGTAGATTTAACATGCCAAAAGGAGCACTCTAAGTTAAGTACTAGCAGTCTAACTTCATCACGTCGTAAAGAGCGGTACATTTTTCAGTTAAATAGCAAACAATAATGTAAACAACATAAAAATCATTCCAAAGAAAGATGTGCAAACAAATAGAAAAGTATAAAAATATTTTGTTCGGTAGGAAAAAATAATCAAATTTAATTTGAGCCACGCAGTGAACAAGTTGAATGAAAATTGTTTCTCAGTTAAATATTAATTATCCCTCTTTTAATTGTTCAGAGAGTTCCGTGTAAAATGACACACTAATGGTGCTACAGAATGTGACAAATTTTCTCGTACTAGTTTTCTAATTTCCTTGGTGTGGGCTAGCTTTACTGTCTTCCTCCATACTATTGCCATCTATCGACGCACGTGCATGAAAAGAAATCTATTTTTTCGGTTTCCAAATAGTAAAACATAAATATTACTTTAAGAACATTACAGAAGAGTAAAATAAGAAAATTTTTGTTGGAAAATTTTGAGCCGTTTTTGAGAAAATGGTGTTTAAGAGTTACTGTTAACGTGAATTTGAAGCTTTTTCTCACAGATAACTTTTCAGTTTTCGAATTACTTTATTAAAAGTAATTACAAGTACTTCCACTCACAAACACAGTAACGTATATAAATTGCTGAAAATGTGCGTATTTAAGTCGTGAGAGTTATTAAAATATATATATTTCTGTAATAAAAAATAATAAAGAATTAGTACATTTGAAATTATGATGTAATGAAGGATTTTAATACGCAGGTGTGATATTACGATTTGTGCGAGGAACGAGCGAATATCATAAACTTCACACGAGTGTATTAATAACTATTACATCGAGTTTTTACGGTACTTATCTACAACTTATGGTAAGTTTTGTAAGTTAAACGTTTACATTGATTCGTTTCGCAAGGTTCAGCCAAGGCCACCTAGCGGACAGCTCCCTAACCCTTCCCTCTCCTAGGAGGCTTTTGTTTACCATTGAGCTTGTCAAACAGGATCAAAGTGAAATTACCATCCACTTTATTTTAAATAATATTCCAAGTAAAAAATTACCAATAATTAAAAAGAAATTAAAACTGATAAGTATAATATTATATTTAATGCACACAATCGAACGAAAAATTTACCAGAATGTTTATAAATGATTAATTGTCAATACTTGGTTTGTAAACTGTGATAGGTCAAGAACCTGTATCATAATGACATCTGTATTGTAATAAGTATCATTATGCAACGGATTGAAGCTTTCAAATGACAGAATTGTTCAATGGGAGAAGAAAAAATGAGTTTTATGTCATCTTAATCGGTGCAAGTAGTACTATCACTACGAAAATGTCGAAGAAAAAATTTCGAGCAGTTTTTTTTTGAGAAAATAGCGTTGAGCGTTTCTAAAACTTCGGAATTTTGAGACCTTTACACTGAGTTTTCGAAAAACTTTATTCAACATCATTAAAAGCACATTTATACGTAAATGTGTGAACAAATCGCCGATAATGTAAATATTAACGAAGTAAGTGGCTACTAAAAAACTTAAATTTTTGCCATTTTTGAAAAAAAAAAAGAGTGGAGCATACTGATATTTATCTCATCTCAGAGTATTATCCCTACCAAAAGTTTAAAGAAAAAAAATTGGCACCATTTTCGAGAAAATCTTGTTTTTGTTATTTTTTAAATTGCAAATATAGCACGCAATATTGCGCGAATTTTGAAAACATGTACACGATGTAAATGAAAGAACTAATTATGGAGAACAAATTTCATTTGAGCGAAAATTTTCTATATTTAATTTTTCAGTTGTAAGAAGACGCTGATAAAATTAAAACTTTTGAAATTATTGAAAAATCACAGTTAATAGTGAAATCCGGACTTATGCCACTTTTACTCTATATTTACAAAAACCTAAAAAAATGGGATCCATTTTAGAGAAAATTTTGAAAATGTCCCAGGAGCTTTATATAAATTACCCCGAAATTTTAAAGAATGTTTTTTCCAAATCGCAAAGCTTCAAGTCGAGCCAGATCGACCGCGAATTATCAATTTTGGAAAAAATCCTACGTATGGTTTAGGAGCTAGTGGTGTTCTCATACAGACAGGAGGAAGATCTGGAAAAATCAATGAACATGTTATTAATTAAATAACTAATTGTAGAGGACAAATTACATTTCAGGAAAAAATTACTATCTTCAATATGGTAATTGTAAAAATCCGCTGAAAAAAGCAGACTTTTGAAATTTGGAAAAATTTGAAGTTAATATTAAAAATCGGATCTAAGCCATATTTATAAGCATATTTTATTCCATTATAACAATTAATTTAAATTTAAAAAAATTGGAGACAATTCTAAGAAAATTTTGAACATGTGACTAGGGCTTTATGTAAAGTATCCCCAAAACCTAAATAAATCGCAGAACATTGAGTTGGGCTGGATCGACACATGAATATTCATTTAGGGGAAAAATCCTACAAATAGTTAAGGAGCTAGTGCTGTTCACTGACGGAAAGACGAATAGACAGATGGACGGACGTTTTAAAAAACCCGTCCATTACGCTATTATTTATTTCCACATTTAATCGCAACCTTCTTTCTAACAGCATTAACAGACCTTAGTCCTGACATGTGCGAGCATATATCGCAAAATAACTTTCAACTCTAATTTTACAAGCGAAAACTTGGCATCGTGTTGATAAGATGATTCCAATATTCTCCCTGCATACTCTTCCGTTTAGGGATGAGGAGGTTGAGGACGCGCATGGCGTTATTGCGGTGTGTGTTGCAGGAGACGCGTGCGAGGGCCATGGCGGAGCGGCGGGCGTCTGCCGTCTCATCGGCGACTGCCCCGAGGCCCGCGACGCGCTGCGCAAGGGCGTGGCGCCCGCCACCTGCTCCTTCCAGGGCTCCCATCCCGTTGTCTGTTGCGCCGGCCCCGCGCCCACATCCTCTCCCGCTCCATCACCCACTCCCTCCGCCGCCCCCATCCCAGCTCCCGCTCCCACAACACTGACTCCGCAGCGAGTCGCCACCAGGAGTGAGTACCAACATCCGTTTCTAAATCATTTTAATCTTTTAATTTTGGTTTCAAAAAGTAATGTTATGAAGAATGGTAGTCTCCTTATTAAGTACTCCGAGTTATTAAACGTAGTCTTAATACGAATGTATGTGAATAAGTATCTGCACTTTCGTTCTAATTGTTTGTAAGTTGACTGTACAGATTTGTGCACTTACGAACCTTAAGACGACATCGTTCCCTTCGCAAGTTTCTGTATTATCATTTACGAGGCAGGAGACTTGCCTCTGAGACCTACATGTGAGAAAGAACTGTATTCATGGCTTGCTGCCAACGACTTAATCTCTGAAGTTGTAACAATACCTGCAACAAGACTTCAATAATGGATAAAGTAATGTGGATTACAGCTAAACTTCTCAAAATGCGAAATCAACATTTTTACTTTGCGAATAACAAATATCCCTCCCCTATTAAAAGTAAATAATTACCGGGCTCATTCATGTAAATAAAAATAAATTAAATAGGCGCCCTCCTGGATACTCATCTCACATGGAGACTTCATAATATTCATAGACTGAATAAATATTATGAAACCCAACTCAAATTATATCCCCTTATTAATAAAAAGTCATCTTTAAAAAGTGAAAATTCTTTGTTTCTTAACAAACCCTCGATAACTTACGCAGACCCAATCTAGAGAGGTGGCGCTTCTTCCGTTATGAAACCCTTGCAAATCGTCCAGAATAAAATGCTTCTTACAATTACCAAGGCCCCGTGGTATATAAGCAATAGACAACTTTATAGAGAACTAGACATAGAACAAACTACAAATTACACTATATTACTGTCGTTCAAATTGTATTCTAACCTCCAAACTGACCCTTGCAAGAGCCACTTTAACCTTGAAAAAACAAAAGCGTTGTTCCTACAAGAATAATGACAATTATTATCATTATAAAACAAGTTGAGATTACTAAACATTTTGTATTTTTTCTCATATAAAAGCAAAGCTGGGAGTAGAAAAAATTTTGTATCTTTACATTTTGTATGAAAATTAAATTATTTCTATAAGTAATGTAATCAACCAGGAAAAAATTGCAATTTTGTAGAGGTAATACAAATCTCTCTTAAATTACAGCGTAATTACTTATCTGTCCTGAACCTATGAATCGAACAATACAGATCTTATTTTTGCAGAATATATATGCTATGTTATTTTGTAGTGTGCACCGAATATGCAAATGCTGTCTACTCTGTAACAACCTCCCAAATTTCGAACCAGACCAAGAAATGGGATAAGTGTGCTATAAATGACTTAGTGTCTTTCATTGCGAATGGAATAGAGGCTTTTCCTGATGAGTTTCCTCATATGGTAAGTACAAACAAAATTTCCACACAGGAAATTACATTGTTGAAAGTTGAATTCGAGAACATTTTGGAACAGGACATTACAGAACTGTTCAGACATTTTAAAATTGCTAGAGTGATTCAAGTGGCGAAGGAATTGATTTCGGATATGAAGAACATGAGTTTTTGAAGGAGAAAGATAAGGTTATACGCCGGGGGGAGCGAGGGTTTTATATTGCCAGACGAAGCTACACATTTTCATGCTATAGTGACAAGTCGGTCACGTGTTCATGACATACACAGGAGAAAATGGACAGATAATTTGAATTGATCCTGCCCGAGGCATGCATTCAGTTAATCCTGATCGTTTCTTAGAAAGAAGAGAGACCTTTGAAATTAAATTTTAAATAATATAAAAACCGTCGCTGTCATTTTAGAAACATTTCGCGATTCTGCTCTTTTGCAACCATTCGTGGTACGGTTATGCAGAAGAGAGAGAGAGAGAGATAACATACATATATTTTGTGCAGGGTTCATAAAGTCTTGTTATGTAGAATAATGCCTAAGAAATATAACTCTGGTCTCAACTGTACACCCACAAGTGCCCATACGTGTTTTCAAGGCGATTCACCAACATGTTCCTGGCATGTTGCGCAGTATACTTTCCACATGTTGCTCCGTGATCTCCCACTTATTCCTCACAAATACTATCATATGATTCATATGAAATTAAACTTGAAGTTCAGAAATGTTTAACAAGTAATATTTTCATTACGACATAATTTCATAAACAGTGGTGGGTAGTGCCGTGGTCGTCCTAGCGTATCAAACAGGATTTTATAATTAGCCGAAGAGATGAACCTCAAAAAAGGTAATTAAAAGGATTTCAGATTGAAGCACACGGCTAATGAAACATAACTTAAAATCTGGTTTCTATTAAATTAAAATTAGCAAACTCAGAGCGCGTAGTTTTTATCTTATGCTCGGCGATAAGATATATTGCAGCGCAAAATGTGCTGCAGAACATGTGTGGTTGGTTGTATTTGCACCTGTTTGTGTCTTTATTATGAGGAGCAAATTAGTATGTTAAATTAATGAATTTATACACTTTGATTGTAAAAACACAAACGTTACGATCAGAGAACAGTGTAGTGTTAAGGGTTATTAAAACCTTAACGTTCTAGTAATATCTCGCCTCCATTAATTGTATCAACATCAGTCGGTTCCATTTCGCTGAAAGAATAGTCAAATTTAAACACAAATTATAACCCATTGAAGTTTTTACGAAGTGAACAAACTTTTAAATAGTAGTACGATATTCTTATAGTAACAGCGTACATTACTTATTTCGGCACATAACATTTATCCCTTACATAAATCCTAACATCCATATCCTAACATCATTTATCCCTTACAACAAATATAATCCTTAGTAAAATCCTTTAGTCATTATTATTATTATTATTATTATTATTATTATTATTATTATTATTATTACCTCTCAATTACTGCAGTATATAAAAAAGTAAAAGTGGATAAATCTTGATCCTATAAGTAGTACATTAGTTCCTCTAACACGTTTAATCATATTCTACGTTTGGCGGGTCCTTGATAACGACAATTCAATTGAAGGAAAAACGTTTGTCCGTCTGATCGTCCTTCCGTCCGTCTGTCTAAGAACCACGCTAGCGGCTAAACAGTAAACAGGGTTTTCACCTAAATTGAAAGTCCTCTATCGATCTGATTAATGTCGTGGCCCTTTGCATTTGAAACAGATATTTTTGATTTGGGGGGGTATTTTTCATGAAGCCTCAATTGCATTTTCTAAATTTTCACGAAAATGGTTCCACCGACTTAGGTGGTTCAGGGCATCAATTGGTGTACTGCCCCTGATCGGAGGTCCTAGAGTTTGAGTCCCGACAGTGCCAGGATTTTCGACACTATCTACATTCTACACTTTAGACACTATATTTTTGAAGAATTGTTTCAGAATATATATATACCCTTCAAATAGTAGCCGAAGAAGACTTTTCTAAATTAATATAAAAATAGTGTTATTTTGTTTCTCGTACTAGCCCTTACACTGGAACTTGAAAGAGTTCAACATTTCTCAGGGCATCAACTGATGTGGCTGCAGTGCTCTGACTGGGAAGTCCTAGGGTTGGAGTCCCGACGTTAGCAGGATTTTCGATACTGGCAAGATAGCTAGATCCAATTCAGGCGGTGACAGGAGAATTATAGTAGTCAGCTGCTGTGATTGGTTGTTTTACGTGTTGTCCAATCAACACCAGGTGAATGCCGGAGCAGAACCCTAACAACCGGGCCACGGACCGCGCGCAATCTTCCATTCCTCTTCTTGACCTATCCTCACCCTTTACTAACACACAAACGCGCGCGCGAACACACACACACACACACACACACACACACAAGTGCATTACGCTACCACACATGTCCAGTGGGGAGCTTGTCCGGCTGGGCGGTAGGAGATATCTGGTTGGGGAAAACGCCAGAAATCGCCAGTTAGGTCGGCACAGAAGCATCTCGATGGGGGAAGATCACCGACACTTTCAGCATTAATCCATGCACTACACTTACGGGACTTCGCAGTTGACGAGCCCGGAATCACCAATCAATAAATCAATCAATAAAAAATGGCTCTACATTTTTCCTTTCAATTTTATAGAGCAAAAGACGCATACAAATGGCATAAGTCGTATTTTTATTATCCTCGCTGATATATTCGAAAATTGCAAAAGTTCATCATTTTTTCAGTCTTCCTACAACTATTATAATGAAGATAGATTTTTTCCTTAATGAAATTTGTTCATCAAAAACAGATCTTCAATGAGGATCATGTCAAAATCTTTGAAGCTATAAGTATATATTGCGTATATTTGCGTAAACATAGGCAATTTGTAAATTTTAAATTATTATTTTCTTAAAATTGCCTTTAAATTTTTCTTACATTTGTTTCACTATATGTAGATAAGAAAGGTAAAGAAAGTTGTACTTGTCCCATTTCAGCAAACTCTTTGAATTGTGAAAAATTGAAGACAAAAATCGAAATTATAAATTTGAATTTCTCGCACTGCGTTCGATGCACTGTGAGTTCGCAAAATGGCAACATTGCAGTTGAAAGTCATAAAAAATTCTTCTCATTGTTGCCGGTCGTGACGATCGTTTGTTGTAGATAATATTGTAATGAAAGGAAATAGATTGAAGGAAGGTAATAGATTTACCTTGCATGTATGTACTTGGCGCGAAAGCCCGTGAACGGGCACAGGCCTACCGGCGACGTCCCTGCCTCGCGGCCGTGGGTTGAGGGAGTACGTGAGCACGTAGACATTGCACGCCGTATTCCGATCTTGTCAACTTTAGAAGTAAATGTTCTCATCGTCACATAGTAACATACACTGAAACATTGCAAGGAAAACACACTCTATAGTCTTGGCTCGACCGAGAATTAAACCCAGGGCCGCGTAAACAGATTTGTCTTAGAAGTAACAATTACACTTCTTTTACTTTAAGAAGTTTTGATCGCTGATTATGGTGTTCGAAAACTGAAAGTTCTCTACAATGAAATTAGGGCAAGCTTGTGTGAAATTATTCTTTGTTTTCTGTATAATGTGCCGCAAATGTTGTAACTGTTCAATTTATTCATGATTCATTCATTTGTAAAAGTAAGAAATGACTATTTTTTCTGACATTCGATATAAATGCAGATATACACCAGGAGTATTTCAAGAATTTTTTGCAAGTTATAGCTAAGGTGGTAGTAGGGCAGCAATGGCAAAGTTTCAATATTACGTAACCGCTTCAAATAATGCGAGAAAGTCTGTGCTGTTGTAAGCACATCTAGTTACTATTGTTACGGTTATTGCTCCGCAGGCGCTGTTGGGTTACGGCAACGAGAAGGCGCCCAGCTGGGAGTGCGGAGGTTCCCTCATCAGTGAGCGCTTCGTACTCACCGCCGCCCACTGCTTCACCAGGAAGTAAGCAACACCCGAATACCATCTCAGGCGTAAATTCCCTGAAATATTGCGAGAGTGTAAAACTCAAATTCTTTAAATCAACGATATGAGATAAAATGGATGGTAGCACTACATCGACTGAGACGATGTGTTCCACATTGTCACGAGCTGTTGGAACAGGCATGTTTGAAGGAAATAAAAACAATAATAATGTAGAGTTGAGTGTGACAGGGTTTTATTAATAGAAATGTACATTTAAAGAAAATTGTTTCATAAACATTAGTGATTCTAACTTACTGCAACATTTTATCTATAGCGTCTTTTCTTTACCCTCTTGTTCACCTAGGCTGGGATATAGCATGAGAAGTTGGCTGACATTTGTTTTACGCAATATCGTTATCTAGAGTGATCAGTATGTCATTATTCTCTTCCTCACGAATTAAATTTTATAATTTGAGTATGGTGCTTCTTGTAACATCGCTACGGAATTAACGGGTTCAACACTAAAGAATTATTATACATTTTCGTGAATGTCCTGTCCATTTTAACATGAATTTTCACTCAGTGGTAAACGTTTTATCTCAAACGTGAATGTGATAGTGATTCAAAGAGTAACTTCAGAATTCTTTGTAACAAAGTAATTCGATCTTCCCATTTTTTGTCGAATATTTTTTGTGTTGAATTTTTAAATTTCCCGCAAATACATTCAGACGTCAGATAGCTTGAGGTGTATATTTTGCGAACGAAACACTTTTCACTTCTCAACAAAGAAGTGGAAAGAGCCGAAGAGTTTACGTTAACACTGAATGTAAGCTAGATGATAAATGTAAGGAAGCAAGTTTATGGTAATTTCTAAAACACATAAACGAGAACATTTTAATCAACAGAGAGACAATTCAAAAAGTGCAGAGATATAAATTCCTTGGCACTACTATAAATCAGGAAAATGATAATTCAGATGAGATTAAGGCAAGAATAAGTCAGGCAAGAGACAAAACTGTCTTCTGCACAAGATAATTAAGTTAATTAAATGTTAAGATAAGATTGTTAAAATGTTACGTATTCTCGATTATATTTTATGGAATGGAGACTTGAAAGAAAATAGATTTAAAAAGGCTAGAAACATTTGCAATATTTTACCGAAGAACCCTTACAATCATTTGAGTAACAAGGACTACAAAAGAAGTAGTCTTGAAAAGAAATGGAAAACGCAAAGAAATATTTAAAAAAATGAAAGTAAGAAAGCTGCTATATTTACGACACATTATGAAAGAAGAAAAATGAAACATTTCGCAGATAATTTTATAAAGGAAGATTTGAGGTAAAAGAGCAAGAGGAAGACGACGTACATCCTGATTGGACAATTTTAAAACATGATCATAATTTGGTGCTCTAAACAATTCTGCAGCTGAACATATGTACCGAGTGTTTCCATTCTGACAACCAACCTCCTAAGAGGAGACGGCACGAAAAGGACTTTTTCTCATGAAATTTTGGCATAATATTCGAATATATAAAATTTCGTTACATATCAAATAACACGATATTCTATTTAAAACGAACAAAATATTTTCTGCTTCAAAACTTTTTTCTAGCATTAAAGACTATACTGATTTAAGAAAACGACAATTCTAAATTTTCTTACAACAATAAAACATTGGTATCAAGATCAAGTATAAATAAGAAATATTTATTTCCATGCAGCATGGAAGGAAGATTTTTTCTCTGCCATGAATATTTAAAAAATCAGGAATAACGAGTTGCAACTAGATAATTTTTTAACTAGACCTATAGAGAATTTGTAGGTTGTCTAGCTTCTTGAATATAACCTTTGGAACCTCCACTCCCCGTCAGTGATGGGGACAAGGCTATTTTTTTCAACAAAATTAATTCAATAACACAAGAGAGGCGTAACGAAGGATATACGAAAAATAACAATTTCTCTGACGCAGGGGTGTTCCGAAAGTCGTGCGCCTGGGCGAACTGGATCTGAAGGCGACGAGCGAAGACAACCCGCACAAAGACTTCGCGGTGGCCCAGGTCCTCCCGCACCCGGACTACGTGGACAGCGCCAACTACAACGACCTGGGGCTGGTGCGGCTGAACCGGGACGTCGCCTTCACGCCCTCCATCCGCCCGCTCTGCCTGCAGGTGGACAAGGACTTCGGCCGATCCTCCGCCATCGCCTCGGGCTGGGGCTACACCGACTGGAGTGAGTGGGCGAGGAGCCGGACGGGGTATCTCCCCATGCTACTTTTGAAGGAACGTTTTCTCGAATACTACTGAGACTAAAAGATAGATAATAATATAATACAACCAAGATTTTCGGAATATTGCAAGATATAATATTTTTTTTGTTATGAAGACGTTGGAAAAATATAAATCAGCATAAAATAAATTTGACTCATCTACGAATATGAATAATTCGCCGTATTATTCTGATTTGAGTCATATTCAGGTGGTGGTGGTATTTCGGCATGTCGATATGTAACTAGTAATATACAATTTTTTCCACACGCCCCTACATGATCTTAGATTCTCAGTTAGTTTTGTTAAGCGCAGCCAAAACATCTAAAACATTGTGTTCTGTTGCTTTTGCGAGGTCATTAATATGCGATGTGTTAAATTTGTACAGCTATTCGTGAAACATCTGACCATCTAAATAAAGTGATCATGCCGATCCAAGAAAAAGAGCTCTGCCAGAAAGCGTACAAAACATTGTCCACTACACTGCGTTTAAGTAACGGAATTGATGCGGAATCGATGATATGTGCAGGAGCATTGAAACAACGCAATGGCACCTGTAATGTAAGTACCTATTAATTTCTTTCAGACTTTAACGTGATTGCCGAGATTTTCTGCTAATGTTAGTTAATGTACTTAGTAATGAAGAGTTTTTGATTTAAGTCTTCCATATATGAGATTATAGATGGTCTGCGCCATTTTTAAGTGTATCTTGTATTCATGGAATTTAAAAAAATTGAATTTTTGATTTTTTCAATAATTTGCATAATATTCAAGCAGATATAACTTCAAAACATTTTTCAAAAATTGAACACAGAAAATCTGACTTTTCTGAACATATTTTAAGACAAAAATCTCTATCTTCAATATTGAACTTTTGCGATGAGAACTTTTCGCAATTTTAGTGTTTTGCCCTTCATTGAATGTTTTTTTGTTGTTGTTGTAGGGAGATTCCGGAGGTCCACTCCAGATACGACTGGATGAGCCCTATTGTATGTACAGCCTGGTAGGCGTCACGTCTTTCGGCACAAAAATCTGCGGGTCGGGCAATGCCCCAACAATCTTCACTCGAGTCTCTCACTACGTACCGTGGATTGAGAGCGTTGTGTGGCCCGACGAGAAATAAATGCGACTCCAAAGTCTCTTTGTGATCAATTACAGGTTGTTAATAACATGTTGATTCTTGACTGTTTTGGAGTCCAACTAATAAAAGATGTATGAGAATAAATGTTACAAAGTGGTAGTGTATTTAGAGTGGTAGAATATGATATTATCAATTTGTGCCAATGAATATTTGTGGGAAATGCCAAATTATGGGAAATTCTTTCAATGGAGTTCAACATCTGCCCCTGATCCGTGGGTAACTTATCGTACAATCGTGTTTGAAAAGTGATTTCGAGTACTTTTTCTAAAGTTTAACTTTAGACGTTTGAGTAACTTTAGAAGTTTGAGTAAATTTAGAGGTTTGTAAGTAACTTTAGAAGTTTGTAAAATTTGATTTTGAGCCATACAGTATAATTGAAAGTTAGATGAACATGTTCTGAAATAGATATTTGTTAATCCTTTCACTCCCGTGGAAGTCATGTATTAAACCAATATGGTAGTAAAACAATTCTACAAATGACCTTCCTTATATCTCAGTCGATATCATATTTAATTACTGACCGCACGTGGTATTATTCATCCAGAAGGTATTCAATAAAATATATTGCCGGTAGGGTGGTTTTGATTCCCTTCAGGGTATTTGACTGACGTGATATACAGATGATGACTAATTTATGAAAAATATTCGGAGGATACTATTTTTCAGAGAATTAGGATATTAAAACTAATTATTGTTACACTGTTGTTATTGTAAACTATTGTTAACTATTATGGTTATACGTGTTTGTACATCACAATAAAGAGGAGTTGAAATTCACATTCCATGAGGATATAACAGAAACATTTCATTGTTTTTGTCGCTCTTGCTTCCAAACAAGTTAAGGGAAAAAAGGTCCAAACCTCACAGTCTGCCGCGACGTTCACTCGTGTTCTCTCCAATGCGGGCGCTATTTTCTTAACGCACAAGGAAGTGAGCGTAGCAGGAAGAGGAATGATCCAATAATTTCGGGGAAAACAAGAATTCATTGAGTTCAAAGCCTGGTATGTTCACGAACGGGTTCGGCACCAAAACTTCGTAGTCCGAGTAGAGACAGATTGGAGCAGGACCGTCTAGGCAAGTGCTCCGAGGAGAAGCGCCTGGCCACTCTTTGCTCCAAGAGCTAAGAAGATAAGGAGGTGGCGGCTCAGGGCAGCAACTGACGTTACGGCAGTGTTTTTTACCGGGAGACCCTACGGTTTGAGTCCCGACGGTGGGAGGCTTTTTGACACTAGCTAGACAAGTTCAGGCACTGTGTGGAGGTCGGCTGCTCCGATCGGTAGTTTTCTGTGGTTTCTCCGCAAGAGGCGGTCGGCGCCGGATCTCGCCATCCAACGGGAGAAGATCGCCGCTACCTCCCGCGATAAACATGAACTACAGTCACGGGCCTTAAGACCTCATCAGTTGGCGCGCCCAGAAATACTAATCAATCAAGTAGATAAGGAGGTTAACATAATTGCACGCCGCAATATATCGAACCCCGGGGCAACGACTCCTTTAAATGGATAATATATTGTTTAAAAAGTGCGTAAAATTAAAGTATAAATAATTTGTGTATTGAAAAATTTACTGCCTTCCTAATAAAAGAAAATCGAAATAGTAGTTTACGTAACCAGGGCGCGAAACAGGTGATTCACGCACGAGGAGTTGTCCGAGCGTAGCGATGACGACAAAGAGACGAGTGAGGGAATCACCTCGCGCCCGAGTTGCGTATTTTGTAATTTGTAAAATTGCGACTATTATAAGACACCGTGAGCGAAACGCCATCTGTCAAATAAAGGAATATAAATTAAATACTAACTAGAAATACCTTACTTGTACGAAAGAAAATGGATTCCAGTCTGCGTTACAGTTTGTAAATAATAAACAAGGACGTGGTCATTGAAAAGATAATTGCTCATTGTTAAAGATGTTTCCCACACACTTCGTCATGTTTTGCACACTCTTCACGGTGTTTCGCACGCTGTTTAAAAATTAGCTGTTTCGCACTCAGGAAATACGCACGAGAAACCGCGTTTCGCGCACGGCATGTTAAAAGTGAATTTATGAAAGGAATATGTGCCCTTCTTGTAGATTAACTGTTTGACGAATTCCCCTTCCCCTTTGAGATGTATCGCAATTCGCTTCACACTTTTGTAGCTTAGACACTTTACAAATTTTGTTTGTGGATCATTTAATAAAAAGATCAGATGCAATTATTCATGTCTCGAATATAGGCATTGAATGTGTTGGTAATGTTTTTATTATTAAATGTAAAAAAAACTAGTGGTACCATAACAACACATTCTTTATACATTATTCTTATTTCGATTTTCTAGTTTTCGTAAATTCAGAGAGCTTATTAAAAAGCCTTGCGTTCTTTTTATAAGCGTACTACACACTATTCAAAAAAAAACCTTTTAGATAGAATTTGCAATCTTTTTTCAACAAACTACATAAGTGGTATGTGAGAAACTAATAACATGTGTTATAGTCTCCTTAACTTTTAAAACAATATTTTCTTCTTTTCTTCAACAAACTTGCCATATTCGGTATCGTGATTAGCTGAATAATACTGCCGTAAATTAAATTTCTCAATGAAGTTTGCTTTGTGAATACTGAACTATCCACCACATACAAAAAGGGACAGGTCTTCCCACACAGTATTAAAACTTGTGAGAGTTGATGTTTTGTTCTGTGAACCACCTGCTTCGTTCTTCATTTCTCATTATACAGAAGAATATAATTGCAGCTGCGTCTCGCCGCTGTAGCACTCGGTCCGACCGCTGGCCCTGCATGCTCTTCACTTGCTCTGTGTTCCTGATAAGCTACTGATGCCCCGGAGTAGAAAATGACGATGGCGGATTTTCAATTGATTAATTGATTGGTTATTTATTGAGTTTACGGATGCTGTTATGGTCATTATTCCCGATAGTATAGTGCATTTGTAAGGGAGGTATAGGTGTTCTTCCCCCGTTGGTTGGCGAAATCTGGCATCGACCTATAGGTCGGGTACGGGATTTCCCAAACCAGATATCTCACACCAGGAGCATAGCCCCAACCGGGACAACCTCCAAGTTTCCGAATGGTCTCCCTAAATAGGTGGTAGTATATGTGTGTGTATGCAGGGAAGGGGTAAGATTGGACAAAAAAGAGGAAGGAAACTACTAAAAGGATATATGACATTGGTATATATGGTAATATGACATTGATCTGTACAATAGGAAAATGTATTTGTTTCTGTGGGATGTCAGATGCAAAGTGTATTTAAAATTTTCAGATGTTATAATGTTATCAGATATCCGATGTAACCTAGCATTCCCTGGTATAAATTGACATCAATGTTTATTAAATCAGCATAATCATAAAAAAATATACTATTCCTTCATTCACAGTTCTTGGAGATTAAAGAATAACACCCTTATCACTTTTTGGAAAATTAATTAAGATTGAAAATGGAATCACAGTAATTGAATGTTTTTTCTAGATGCCTTTCCCTTCTAAAGACGCTTTTCTCTCGGCGTGCTAGCGGTCGCAAATGCTTTGAACTACATTTCCAACGTACAGCACATTTCTTTTTCTTAGTTACTCTGTCGCCTATGAGCATTGCCGATGTGTATACTAATATACATCACGGATGAAGATCGGAATATGACTAATATTAGGAGTGTCCGATTAAACCAGGCACTCTTAAAATAAGCCAGTATGGATAAAGCTTCAGGAAAGACGAATAATGGGTCATTTCCGACTTTCTCCGGGAAATGCTGGTGTCATCCATAGGGTGCCGGAGCTGTGACTGAGTGTGAGGAGTCTTGTGTGATGACAAGAAGTATAAAAATAGGTTCAAAATTATGCATTGCAGAATGTAGTTTTATGAAATTACAAGGTCGAAGGCTGGACCTTTTATAGCCAACTTGGAAATGCACAGCGAAGCGTCAACGGATGGTAGTGAAATTTGTTCGTATCGGTATTGTGTAAATGGGATTTTACATCTGATACAGTGGACTTAGAAATTGTTTACCTTGTGCAGCATTGCAATAGCCTTAGAAAGTTCCTACCAGCAGTTTTGTCCCTTTTTTTCTCATATTGGAATTCTCTTGTCACCGTGACGAACTTCACGTACCCTAGCCACCTCGTGTTGATAAATGTCGACGTCATCCGTCTTAAGGTCGAAGTACGCTTTAAAGGTGTTGCTACTTCTTAATTAATTCTTCCATTTTGTATAACGTTAACTAATGTTAACATTATACTAAATTATTCGAGAAGATAATAGATAAGATAAACATTAAACGTGGAATAGGGAAAACCATATTTTTTTAAAACCTTTAAACTTCGTGTATTTTCTACACGTGTTGCTTTTAAAAAGTGTAAAACAGTCTTAAATGGTATAAGGTTTTATTTGGTATAACCTCAAATATCTCAATCAAAATCTCAAAGGGATATAAAGAGATTCACTTAAATTGAAAATAAAAATTATAATGGATCAAGTGTTCCTTCAATTCTCTTGTGTATGCCTGGTAGTCTTTTATAAATGACATCCTCTTGCGCCAGAAAGAACATTAAGTCTGACGTACGAGGTCCGAATTACACTTCGAAGCTGTTCCTACTTCGGCTTGCGCCTCCGATTTGAAGTAATGCGAACATTAACCGACAATTCTATAATTAGCTAGAATCGCACTTTATATGTACCATTCGTACAACAAAAACACAAGCAACGTTTCATCAATCTATTTGTTAGAAGTCTTTATCAGGTCAAAGAGACGAGCAGTTTCCCGTTGGGATTCCCAGAGCCTGACCAGGAAGTTCTAGCTAGTTTCAGAGGGATGCCAAGACGTTGAACAGGTCGTTCTTAGCCGGGGGGTGGAGGGTGTTGCGGAGGGGGGCGGGGCTGGGAGAAGAGGAAGATGAGAACAGGAAAGAAGGAGCGCCATGGAGTGGGGCGTGGCTTGGCACGGAAGAGCGGGGAGGGGCGGAGTGGTACGCAGAGCGCCGGTTCGTCTTTGCGGCCAGAACTCCCGTCACGGCCAGTGCACCCGTTGCAGCCATGGGGTCTAGCACGTTCGTCCGCCTGCTACTGGCCATGGCCGTCGCCGCCACCTCCACCGCAGCCGAAAAAGCTATTGGTGAGTGAACATACGAATAAGTTTGGCTGCCTGAGCGAATCTGTGTCGTAAATTGTTTCGGACTTCGAAATGTTCGTTAGAGCTGCAATGTGCGTAGATGGTTGGCGCTTGTAATTTACACATACTTGTACATGACCTGCGACGATTAAGCACTTCACTTAACCCATCATGGCGTACCTACAGCTCGCAGAGTGTCTCCAAACCAATTGCATGTGAATGGAACACATAATAACAGAAAGAAATTGCATGTGACATGCATACTTCCAATTTATAGATAAATATATTTGTAAAAATATGAATTCATTTATTTATTGGTTATTTGTGAGTCTGTTCAGAAGAGTCAACTAATATGGTCATTAGCTTAGAAAGTGTAGTGCAGGCAGTATCACGGGAGGTACGCGGAAATACTTGTTCAAAATCTTAGAAACAATTGAGTTTCAAAATTCTGAGAGGTTTGAGAATTTTAGCCTCCTTCTATATTCTCAGATTAGTTTGGAACGGTTCTTGCCACTTTTCGCACAAGATACTTTGAAGTAGACTTCTAAATTAGGGCGATGACGATGAACTGAATGATGATATCAACGGTAAAAATATGAGACACGAAAAGAGGTCCAAATCTGAAGCGAACCCACTCATTCACTACAAATGTCACCTGGGACTTGTATTCCGGCTCCCAGGCACACCAAGTTAGCGAACGACCGCTACCCTGACAGCCTTTGAACAGGAGAAATCAAATAATAGAAACCATCCACTCATTTCAAGTATAAACCGTCAACATCGACTAAGTCGTTTAACAGTCTCATGTACTTTCTAGATAGTTTGTTTTCACACTAAAACGCCTCAAAAATCACAATCTGAGCCCGCCCCTCCGCCTTCATTCATATCGCGGAATCTCCCAGTTTATTCCAAAGCCCCGCATACTCCTAAAGGTCTCCCAGGACTCGTCTTGAAGTTACATCGGCACAACACAGACCCCCGACAGGTTTTGCTAGTGCCGGTTTCAGGATTCGTGGGGCCTGCAGGAGCCGACGGAACCATGAAAAATGTGTCTAGTCTTGTAATTGAAACTAAACTTTTTCCCCTTTATGATGTTTCAGTAAAAAAATGTTGGTCGTATGATTAATCATAATTTAATACATAACTAGAGGTGCTACACTACACCCTTTCTCGCACATTATATCTAAATAGGCAATTTTCTAAAAACACAGAAAGGTCAACGAAAAAGATACCCGCACCGTTCATTTAAGCGTTCCTTGTTCTATCCGTGGAAGAAGTTAAGACAAAAACAGGTTTTTAAAAAAACATATTTTCTAGAAATTGCATTAATTTTAAGCACAAATTACCACAAAACAACGTGTTTCTAAAAAAACTGAACATGACCTTTTATAAAGATCTGATGTTATACAACAGAATTTGACAAAGGAAAAAACATCTATCTTCGATTTTGTACTTTTCAAACGCTAACCTTTTCCAACTTTTGAAAATAAGGAGAGTATGAAAATGAGAATAGCACCGTATTTTTAATATCCCTTGATACAAGCAGAGACAAAATTTAAAGAAAGAAATGTAGCGGGTTTTGAGGAAAAAATTGTTTAAATTTTTTAAATGCCTATATTTCGCGCAAAATTAATTGAAAATTACTCATAGTTTTTAATAACCGAACGTGTCCTAATTTCACGACCTGCCTTTAAAGACCAGATTCCATTAAGAAAAAACTCTATCTTTAATGTTGAAGCAAGACGATCTAAGAAATGAACTTTCGCAAATTTCGAAAAAAAACGAGATTTTAACGAATATGCACCTACACTATTATATTAAGTGTCGTCTACTCTATCCGCGAACAAAGTTGTATAAAATAATTTTTGTTACCGTCTTCGAAAAAATTTTGAAAATGTTTGTGAGGTTTCATGTAAAGTACCCCCCCAAAAAAATGAAACTCCCAAAGCGCCGTGTTCATTTTGATTGATCGGAGAATATCCGTTTTGGAGAAAATCGGCTGAACGGTTTAGGCGCTAGCGCTGACGACTGACAGATAGGCAGATGGATAGATAGATGTTTCACAGTCCATCGATATTTCATTATCATGTACATACAAAACATGGATCATGGATACACCAGGTATTATAGGAACTATTTTTCTATATATGAGAAAACGATTTACCACTTTTTCATCAGAAGGGCTCGATAATAAACATTTTCTGTCACAAAATAGCGTTGTCTGTCGCAACAATTACAATCTTCTTACACTCGTAAGTGCGAGAAAGTAAAAACTAAATGGTGATGTTAATTTCACATGCAGCGTAAAAATCAAATTTCACATGCAGCGTAAGGTTACCTGTTACTTTACGTATGAGTAAGTAAACATGCTGTTGTCCTATAAAGTAATTAGAAGCTTGATTTATTCAGTTGAGAAGTTTCAGATAGATAACTGCTAACTTTTGCAACAGTGCTACTTTTAATCATATCCAACCTTTAATTGAAGCCTATTAGAGCTACTAATCTGTTGAAAATCCTTGCTGGAGGAGAGTAGGTATATTATGTTTCTTGCACGTCAACAACTTTGGACATTAGCCCCGTGAGTTAAATAGTTCCCTTTGTAGTCACCTCCAGGAAACACGGGGGGGGGGGGAGGCGGTTCCTCCTCTTCTCGAACGTGAGATCCAGCGCCCATTTACTCGTCAGCTTGCAGGTTTCCCCCTCCAGGTGTTCCCCTCCTAACGTGAAATCGCCCGAATAGACCGACTAGTCTACTAACATGACGCTTTTCCGGAATACTGTTGTAACTCGAAAAACCTGTTTTGTTTCATTTTCCCACGACTTCAGTGGTTTCCCATTAACCGAAGATCATTGATACGCCAGACAGATTATTTAAAAATTATGTATGACTCATGTTTTTTTAAATGTATTAAAATGGATTATCTAAAATCCTGAATTTTGGGTCAAAATTATTGCATTAAAATAAACAGCGATCTTCATCCACATCATAGGGATCCATATGTCACCACGGGGCAAATTGTATAAATACGTCTTCCAAATAAAAAAAATTTGGGGGGAATGATTGACATTAAAATTTCAGTTGTCGATTTTTCTGAGTTACAAGATAATTCTGGAAAAGCGAAGCTGGTAGTGAGACTTTTGAAGTTATGCATGACCTACGAATTACTACAATTTTTTTCTTTGTCGCCTTTGTGTTATCTTGTTCCTCGGTCATGCCCTTTTGTTAAATTAGAGGAATATACCGACTGTATCCCTAAGACATTTACCTCCCTCCCTCAAAAGGCACTGTCAGACTGCATTCCGTTCCGTTTTCCTTTTTAGCGAAAAAAAAGATTTCTGCGATTACTGTGGTCTGCTTAGTATTATATCAATTGATTATAATTAATTCACTTCTGTCTGTTTTTATGAAACATTTTCAAGTCTTGTTAGACCACTGCCAGCGTTGAAAATCACTCTTTAAAGTTTATAGAAACAAACTTGAAACGAGTATCACGAGCATCTTCTTACTAGCTGACTTAACACACAATTCAGAAACCTTTGGCATAATCGCCCATATTCGAAGTTTTCCCTGCACTTGTGCATGAACTTATATTTGCACTACTAGTGAATATGATCGTACTGAAAGTATTTTCTCCTTCCGAAACCCCGAATGAACGAAACGGGATGCAGTCGGTCGCCTCCTCAGGCAAGGAAGGGGATAAGCTAGGAAGGGCGTGAGAGAAAACCGACCTCGGGATTCAGTCGGTCGATACCCCAAATGGGATTATGACATAATCTTCAGAACTCTGTATGTCAAGTAAGTTGGAAAATAAGATGATCGTGAAAACTTTTTAAAGTTTCGTGTCCACAAATGTTTGAGCGGTGGTTTTCAATGTTGGCAGTGCTTTAAAAGGACGTGCAAATTATTCTTGAAAAGACACCAAAGTGGATCAATAAGAATCATCCAATATAATGCTCAGTAGACCACAATGAACATAGAAATTACATATAGAATAGAACATAGATGAAATATTAAATTAGTGTAAAAAATAAAGCGCAAGAAAGCGGGAAAGTGGAGCAGTTGAGCTGCGCCTTTTTAAGGAGGTAGGCAAAAGGCAAAGAAAACGTTGCCGGCGGAATGCAGTTTGCGAACGTCCTACCAAATTAGCGCTTTGCGCAGGTGATGCGTGCGAGGGGGAGGGCGGTGCGCAGGGCACCTGCCGCCCCATCGCCGACTGCCCTGCGGCGCACCACGCCCTGCGCCTCGGTGCCAGGCCTGCCATCTGCTTCTACGACGGCTTCACGCCCGTCGTCTGCTGCCCAGGAGCCGCCCCCGGTGCATCGCCGCCCGCACCTGCGCCCGCTGCCGGCGCCTTCGAGCGCCGTCGCCACCAGGAGTAAGCGCCTAGCAGCGTTCTGCTCTGCGCCCCACGCTCCATCAACCCACACATCCGCGCCCTCTGCCCCGCGCCCCGCCCCGCGCCCGCACGCCCCGCGCCATACGTCCCGCGCCCCGCGCCCCCGCCCCGCGCTCCGCCCCCCCCCCCGGTCCACTGTCCCCACGCCCTCTGTGTCCACGCCCTCTCGCTCCCACGCCCCTTTTGCTCCACGCCCTCTGTGCTCCACGCCCTCTGTCGCCTCTGTGCTCCACGCCCTCTGTGCTCCACGCCCTCTGTGCTCCACGCCCTCTCTCACGGCCCTGTCACGCCCTCTTTCCACGCCCTGCTGTCACGCCCTTTCCACGCCGTCTTTTGCCCCAGACCTGCCGGCGGGCCCCACGCCCCGGGCCCCCCCGCCGCGCCCCGCACGCGCCCCGGGCCCCGGGCCCCGGGCCCCTTGCCCGCCCTGCTCGGGCCCTCTTTCGGGACCTCCTAATTATTAATTAAAAACAAGAGCGTGCTGCAGCCAAAACCTGCTACAGTGGGGAATGGGGTTCTTGTCCGCCCAAAAAAATCGAAACCCCCCCCAACCCACGTGGGAATTTACCCGAAAGGCCTTTTTCTTTTTTTTCTTCCCCCTTTCATTTTTTCCGCCATTTTTGGGGGACGGGTTTTTTTCAAAAGGGCTTGGTTGTGGGTTTTTTTTAAAAAAAAAAAAAAAGGGGGCCCCCAAAAAATGGGAAAAACCCCCCCCCGGTAAAACCGGTAATATTATTGTTAAAAATGTTCAGTATCTCTCTC